CCAAATGGCATGACCAGGAACTTATAGTGTCCATACCTGGTTCGAAAAGCCATCTTAGGGATGTCTTATGTCCTTATTTTCACCTGATGGTAACCTGATCGCAAGTCTATTTTAGAGAAGACCTACACACCCTGCAACATATCGAAGAGGTCATCAATCTTGGGAATGGGATATTTGTTCTTGATTGTGACCCTGTTCAATCATCTGTAATCAATACATAGTCTTAACGTTCCATCTTCCTTTCTGGTAAAAGTGACTCCAACACCCAAAAGGGACACACTATGTCTGATAAAACCACTATCTTGCAATTCAGTGATCTATTTCCTCAGCTCCTCCATCTCAACGCGGCTCATGCAGTAAGGAGCAACTGAAATAGGCTGGGTGTCTGGCTGTAGATCTATGGTAAAATCGACTTTTCTGTCCACTAGTAGTCCGGGAAGTTCATTCGGAAACACATCTAGAAAGTCTCAGAATACCGAAATCTCTTGAATACAATTCTCTTTCTTGGGTTTGCCTAATTAGAGAAAACAGCAAGGTTAAGGTACTCGACGAATAAGAAAACTTGCCATCAAGGAATAAGTACTAAATGATTTTATTAACTTGTAAATGGCTCCTCATTAGGAGGATTAAATATAACCTTCTTGTCAAAATAATCTACGGTGGCGTGATACGTCGTTAGCCAATTCATCCCTAAAATTACATCAAAATCTCCCGTGTCTAATTCTATTAGGTCTACACTCAATATCCTATTTGCTATCTCTACAGCACAAGCCCTGTAGACAACTTCTTCAAATAGTGTTACACTCCCAGCAGTAGATACAAATAACGTTGAATCAAGTTTATCCGGTAATACTTTAAATTTTGATGCAAAAATAGGTGAAACCAATGAATGCGATACACCAGTGTCAATCAAAACATGAACAAGATGGTTACAGATAGTATACATACCATGTACCACGTCTGGGTCGGCTTCGGCATCCTGCTGGGTGAGGTTGTAAGCTTTGCCCTGAATAGGAGGTCTGCCCTGATTCTGGTTCCTTGGGCACTCTCTCGCATAATGTTGGGCACTACTACATATGCGACAAGTATTGTTGAGGTGGTAGCAGGGTCAGTCCCGGGGATCGCTACCTTTATTTTTTCTTTTTTCTTTTTTAATTATTATTTTTTTATATATAAATATAATTATTATTTATATGGTTTTAATTTAATTTATTTAAATTTAATTTGATTTAATGAAAATAATAATAATAATAATAATAATAATAAAAAGGATAAAAATTAGTTAGGGATTTAATTGAAAATAATTTTGGGGAAAATAGGTGAAAATTTGGGTTTTGAGGCTATTTTTGAAAGAAAAATCAAAAACCGAATGTCAAAACGCAATTCAAAAAGTTACACCACGTCAGCTGTCCTAACCAACCAGGACGCGCCAGGTGGCATAGACACTGACGCGGGAGGCCACGCGAGGAGGAGCCACGTGGGCGATCCGCGTGCGCGCGATCGAACAACTGAGATCCGTTCTCGCGCGCATGGACGGCCCAGATTGCATCGCGCATGGACGGTCCAAATTGAATCGCGCATGGACGGTCCAAATTGAATCGCGATGAACGACCCATATTCACTCCCTATTTAATCATGATCAAATGGTCCAGATTAAAAGCGATGGACGACCTAGATCAAAAGCAGATGGGTATAAATAACCCCATCCGTACCCAAACCCTAACCCTAGCCGCCAGAGCCCCTTGCCAGAGAAGGCAGCCCAGCCGCCAGGGAGCCGACTGCCGCCACCCGCCGCCGTACCGAATTAATTTATGACCGTCAAATGAGCTAAAAATTTTCCCTCTTGCACGAAATTCAATTTTAAACGCACCCATGGCGAAATCAGAGTGAAATAACCGGCCAATTGGCCAAAAAATACCGCCGAAGCTCGACAGTGCCACCGCGAGGTGTTTCGAAAAATGCTTTCGATGAGGCCCTTCCCGATTCTCTGTTTGATGTGATTTTTCTACCGTTGTTTCCTTCTCTACATGTTGACCGAAGCAAAATACCCAACCGCAACGTAAGCCGGAGGAGCCGCCGCACTAGAGAGCCCCACCACTGGTGAGTTTTGGTTTTTCGTATTTTTTGGCCCACCGAGGGCCCTAAGTGTGTGTTCTCACAGGAATCGGTGCAAGTTCGGCTGAATTCGATAAAAAAACGGCCGAAAATAATGAACTCGAGGTGGATCGCCGCCTCCGTCGCCGGAGCACGGTGAAGCCACCATGCCGGAACTCCGAAATTGACCGAGTGGGCCCTGGGTCTGATTTTTAGGTTTATTTGGGACACTCTTAGGTACCGTAAGCGCGTTTAAGTTTCCGAAGAAAAATTCAGGGAACCTAGGGAACGCCCGTAGGCGCAGTAACCATCTAGTTTTCGGTGTCGAATCAAGTAAGGACCCCTCACCCTATTTCCTATCATGGAATTGAAGTTTGAATAAATGATAATACTGTATTTTGTACAAATTAAATATATATGCATAATTAATTACGGTTGCTAATGGAACCCGAACCGGACACTATTCTATGTCGATTCATGTTTGATTTATTTTACAGTTTAAATGCATTATGGTATCTGGTTTATCTATTCTATGGTTTTAAATGCATGTATCACTGCTTACTTTGATTTTGGGAATCTAAGATATGATTGCATTGTTGGATGCACGTTACTTGTTTATGTATTTATGTTTGAGTTGGTAACGGAGACTAAGGACAAATAGGAATGGGATGTGATCTGATAAATGGATAAGATGACAGCCTCACTAGATATTTTGGGAGATGGTGGACGGACCGGGTTCATAGGGAACCCTACCGTGAACGTTGTCTCATACCGGACGGGGTATGGAGACTTATTCATTTGGCGCTCATACGGACGGGGTATGGAGACGGCCCGCTTCATCCTCATACCGGACGGGGTATTGAGGTTTAATGTCTTAGTGCTCATACCGGACAGGGTATGAGGACGGTCCTGGAATTAAGACTGTTAATAGAAAGGGTTCACGTGTAGCGGGGACACCCCTATGGATCCTCATGGATACTAGTAGGCTGGTGAAATGAGAAATAGTAATGATTAGTTATTGTTAATGAATATGAATTTATGATACGTTCTATGTTACTGATTGTGCATGAAGTTATGACCTGCATGATGTTATTGTCTTTATAGGTTGTTTTCACAGGTTCTCCAAGGATAAGAAAAAGGAAAAATGGTTTTAATTTTAATGAATGTATTGGTTTAAAATTTGTGCTCCATTGGTTATTTTTGGTTTTCTACCAATCTTTACTTTTATGATGGCGATATATTGTGATGTCCTTACTGGGCTAGTGTTGCTCACCCCTTATTTAACTATTTTAGATCATGAGGACCTGGTTCCCGAGCCCGATTCGCAAGAAGACTACGAGTAGATGCTAGATAGTTTATAGTTTCCTTTATTTTTTCATTTTTCGTATTTCATTCGGAGAATTTGTTCCGTGATGTTTGTTAGTACTTTTGAGTTATCATCTAAGGGATGTTAATTTTAACTTTTATTTCGCTTCCGCACTCAAATTATTATATGCATTTCTTTTTAAATTTATGGGGACGTTACAAACAAATTCCATATAAATATAAATATAAATATATATCATTTATAACTTTTTTCTTATTGTCATTCTTCGAACATATTATACTCATACTTATTAGTTTGTTGCAGGCTTAATATTATAATAAATTTTAGACACTTAATTTAAGGAATTAATTTATTCTGAATAATTTTAAAAATTAATTTCTCTTTTTTTGGGTCTTGAGCATTATGAGAATCTTATTGTTGTTGGAAATAGATACCATGTATTTGATAATTCTAAGATGAGTAACCAACTTTGTTAAGGTTAGGTTATAACTTGTACTCTTATGGGGCACTAATATTTTGATTCTTAATATATATATATATATATATATATATATATATATATGCATATGATTTTAGAAAAGGAAGAAATATGCCACGAAAATGTCATGGATATTCATATTTCAAACTATAATTATATCTAGTAAAGTCAAACATCTAGTCTTCAAAGTGATTTTAGAAAAACTTTAATAAAAGCTCAATATTGTTATAACAGATCATATAATGAAAAATACATAAAATATCGTGTAAAATATGAGTTATGGTCTTTTAACACATTTTTCTTGACTTGGATTTGATGTGTCAACTATTTGTAGTAATCTAATAATTACATGAAGATCTATTTTAAATTATTTTGTATTAATTCAAGGTAAAAAAAAAATGAATCAATCAACTTAAGACAGAATTTAAAATTGATGGTAATTTTGAGATCATTTTGAAATTTATAATGTTCATAATTTTTGTTTAAATTTAATTATCAATTTGAATAATATAATTACAAGATAATATTTACATTAGAAATATTTTCATTCACTATGTTTATTTAAATGCCTTGCGTCAATATTAACTATGATTGCTCTTATATCATTAGAGAAAATATTAACTACAATAATTCATTTAGATGTGTCCAAAACCATTTTGTTTTCTTGAAATAGTCACATGAAGTTTTAATTTGTTAGTTTCCAAAATGATTTTTATAAGTGTATTTTTGTGTATTTTATTATTAAAAACTCAATTAAATGTTGTCCAAATGTAGGATTGTAAAAATTGGTAGGCTATTATTTAATTGAAAATTTGTAATTTATTTAATTAAAAAAATTTCAATGGTGTGCATGGGCACTTCATCACATTGTTATTATTATTATTATTATTACTATAACATGTGTATATAGTGGAGAATTAAATTGATGCATTGAATTCATCTTTTCAAATTATATTTTCCTTCCTAATAAAATTCAATTTTTTTGTAAGCAGAATAAGTGGATATCAATTTGCATGAATTCCACGCAAAAATTATAAGAGTTATTCCAACCACAAACATAACATACTAAAATTCTAAATTGTTAATAATTAATTAAAGCACATGCCGATTCTTTTTAGTGGGGTCCTGTCTGCCTACCTACACGTACTTCTATATACATATATATTTATATATATTCTTATTCCTTTGAAGTTATACCTTTTATTCCTTTGAACAATCCAACGTTAAACTATACCTTTTATTTATACCTAGCTTTAACATATATACCTTTTTACTTTTGCTTCTCTCTTCCATTAATTATATATTCATAACAAGAATATTCGTAGGCAACATATATAATCACCTGCCCATGCATGCACTATATATATATACATATATACATATGTCCAGAGTAGATCATGTATATATTCTCGTACTGAAAGTTTAGGTCCCTGCTGGTTTGGGAAGCAATGAAGTGGTAAACAAGGGAAAGCTATACATATCGAAGAGCAGTCCTGAGTGTGTATTGGAGGCGTACTCTGTCCAGTTTCAGAAGGATTTTTCAACGTTTTTGAAATCAAGGTCTGAAGAATTAGTCCATGGCGGTCGCATGTTCTTGTCTTTCATGGGTAGGAGATGCAGTGATCCAACAACTGAGGAAAGCTGCTACCAGTGGGAGTTGTTGGCTCAAGCACTCATGACCATGGCTGGAGAGGTATCAGGACCTACTTATATTTATATAAAGTTATTATATAGTTGTGCCTAAATGTTTTTTTTTTTAAATTATTTTACTAGTAAAATAAATTATTTAATTTTGTGATTAGGATATTATTGAAAACGAAAAAATAGATAGTTTTAACGCACCTTATTACGCTCCAAGTTTCGAAGAACTGAAGTTAGAGATTGAAAAACAAGGATCATTCGTCATCGATGAAGTTAAAGTATTGGAAGTTGACTGGGATGGAGAAAATAATAACAACGAAAATTTCATACTGAGAGGAGAACGAGTAGCGAACACTATTAGAGCAGTTGTTGAATCTATGTTAGAAAGTCATTTCGGAAATCATATTCTTGATGAATTATTTGAGAGATATGCACAACTTGTGGGCGATTACTTGTCTAATAATTCAACCAAGTACATCAACTTCCTACTCTCCCTTGTTAGAAACCACACTTAACATGTGTTAAATGTAGCAAAAATAATTTTTTGCAATCAATTGTTGTAACCAGAATAAATTTTTCTGCAAAATAGTACCCTTCGACTTTTGCAACAGCTTTATTAATTCTCAAAGTATAATTTTTATAGTGATTAATTTTTTTTTTTGTTATATATATATATATATATATAATACTTATGTAAATTAAGAAAACATAACTCAAATTAATAAATTAAAAGATACAGTATAAATTAAAAGAAGATGCTGCTTTTAGAAATAAGTTTGACCTGTCATTATAAAGACTTTGACTTTTGGGGGAGAAGGGTACCGGGCCCATATATTAATTTTTATATCCCTTCCCCTTAATTAAAATATAAATTTATATTTATCTCCGTAAAGAATTTTTAGTTATGGATAAAACTTTATATCCATTATCCGTACTAATTATCTATTTTTTAATTTTAAAATATATTATAGAACATCTAAACGGATCATTAAATTTTTTTTATTATAATTAAATAAAATATAATTTACACATAATATTTAACTATAAATGTAAGATAATATTATAACCATACAAAATTATTAAACATGATTAGAATAGAAACATAAATTAAAAGTTTATAATTATATATATAGTAATGGCAGGTACACGGCAAACAGAATATTAAATTAATATTCGTCTTATACTCGGTTTTATATTTATAATTTTATATTTATATTCACTCCATACCCCCTTAATTGTAAAACTTTTACACGTCTTATTTCTAGTAAGTTAGGACGAATTTCGTCTCAATGTGTATCTTTAGATTCAACTTTAATATTGTTGATTTAAGCCAAACTAGGTCT